CGCGCGTACAAATAATACGTGTATTAAATGCCGCAAATAAAGGTAGGTCGAACCGACTTTGGCATGGGCACTCGAAACCTGCGATATTGGCGCGTCATCGTACTCAGAACTCTCTGACGTCTCAGACGTCAGAGTTTAAGTATCCGCGTTGCATACGTGCAAAAGATCAACGTGTAAGATTAGAGATAAATAACAGCCGTTTACGCGGAATATTAAAATCAATCGAGGGAAATGTGAGTGATTTGGTATTTTTTTACGTCAATCGCCATTATGAAATATCTGGATGTAATGCGCGTCGAAATTGAGGCAATTCAAGATTTACATTAATAACTTTTGTTTATGTTCATACATCTTTATTTTATGTAGTTTAAGTGTTTTAAAATAACTGTTTTTAAAACACAACAACAAGTGAAATAAAAACAGATCAAAAACGAATAAATAGAAAAGCAATTTATTATGATTACATTTATTTGTATAAAAATATAACATCGACGGGGACATCTTGTTTGATGTCTGAGCTCTCCTCAGGCGGTCTTTTATAAAAAAAATCAAAGAGTAAATACACAAATAAAACAAATAATATATAAAGATATAAATAAATTAAGAACAAAATAAAAATTGCGAAAAGTTTTTATTTTGTATCCTTAATTTATTTATGTCTATACATTATTTGTCTTATCTATATATTTACACTTTGATTTCTTACAACGATTAAAGAAGACTGAGTAAATCGAATTCTATTAAATATTAACTTTTTTAATATTATTATTTATTGTTTTCTACAAATAAATATAATTTTAATAAACGATTATCTCAATGTCTAAATAATTAAAATTTTATCTACGTAATGTGTTTTTGGATTATTTTTGTTTTTTTATTTTATAAATACGAATTGTCACTTGTTTTATTCTGTTATATTTTTTATATATTAATAAATTTTATATATTACATACCTATATATATATATATTGTATGTAGTTATATATTTAATATATAATATTCAAAATGTTATATAATAATTATATATTTATTTTTTTATGTTATATTTTACTTTTTTGTTTGGCTGCTAAAAAAATTAGGTCGTTTAATAATTGTCATACAGGTCGTTTAGTAATTTGTAATAATATGTAATATTTGTAATAGAGATTCTGTAAAGGTAAAGAAATTTTCTTGTCGAAAAAACGAAGCTGTGTATGAAAAAGATTTATTCTGCTCAGATACTGAACAAATGTGAATTGCGTTTATGCTATTTTTTGGCACTGTATATTTTTTAATTGAAAATTAGATAAATTTAATTGCAATTATGTACATGTCTATTTTATATTAAGAGCAGCTGTATCATATAACATAAGAAAATTATTTACATAATTATACATCTCCAATATTTAATCGGTCATAAGAAGAAAATATAAAATAAAATATTTTCCCACAATTTTTAATCTTCTTATTAGCGATGACAGTTATGTACAACGTAACAGATATACTGTTAAATACATTATCATTATGATGATAGCCTCTGGTGAAATAAACGACGTAGACAAATAACAAGAAAACCAATCGGTATCGCGAAAAAAATGATAACACTTAATTCGATACATTCGAGTATTGATATAACATGTCATTTCTAAAAGCGGATTTTCTTCCAATAAATTATTAATATTTTTCAACTCTTTCGCAAAAGAATTTGAGTGTTTTCTTTCTCTTTCGTCTTCCTTGTAACAAAATAATCTTTCAATAACAAATCAATGTTATTTCTGAACAAGATACATATATATTTAAACTATATATAACTTAATTATAAATTATAATTCAAAAATATAGAGTAAAGTAAATTTAAAGTAAGTGATAGACGTTATTCAACATTTCATTAATAAAATATATCTTTATTCAAAATTTTTAAATTAATTCCAATTTTTTATTGGAAATACTAAAAAATATTCTTAGATAAAATTATAGGTATTACATCTAGATTATAACACATATACGCATATACAGTGACATTCATGACGTCAGTCTGTTATTAGAGTTCTAATTTGGGAAAGTAACCGCTTTAAAAGTTCAGTTGAGAGTAGTATCTAGAAAATTTGGAGTACGGCGAGAAAAACCGTGTGTATGTACATTTGACGTTCTAATTTTCATCAAAAATTGCATCTTTAATGAAATTAAATAATGAAATAAAATTGCATCACGAGTTCGATCACCGTGTGTTTTAACCATTCCGGGTAACTCGCTCAGTTCGTTTGTCTATTTATAAGATAAATACTCTCATTCTCGCGGGTCCGCTTGTCGCCGCTTGTGTATAAACACGCACCGTCGCGCTCGGCCGGCCGGCCGGCCGGCCGGCGCACCACGGCCGGAG